ATAAACCCATACTAAGCGGGGCATGTTTGCCCTGGTGGTGCCATGTGTCCCGGGTTGTATCCATAGAGCCCGTTCGCAGCCTGCCTCTATACGGGTCTCAAGGTTTTCCTCTGGTGCTGGAGGAGGTTGCTTATTCATTGCTGAGGATAAGCCTCTGCGGCTCCAGGCTTTATACTGGAGCATGCATAATGCAGGCCCTGGGCTCCCATTTTCTCTTCTATTCCTGGTCCAGATGGATGGCAAGGCTTTTTATCTCTTTCACAGACCACTGGGCAGGAATTTTCCCCCATATGTTTTTATAGGTAGAGTTTCTGTGCTTGCTTTTTGTAAGTATGGCGTTTGCTAATTGCCACGACCATGTGTTCTTGGACTCATCGTAATCTGGACATGCCTCTGAGACTAGCTCCTTTTATTCCCTTTCAATTCCCGTGCTTGTCCTGTCTGTTGTCTCACCCAGTAGGTGCTGTGTAGCTTTATTTGCGGCCTGATTCTAACACCACAGATTTCTCTGAGGGTAGAAGTGCCCTTCTAACCATGGCTTTGGCTCCAATCTACAAGTTTGGATAAAGAGCGTTTTGCAACTCAAGCATTCTCATGACCATTGCAATTTCATCTTTGGCCTTTCAAGGATTTACAAGTGCGTCATTTACTTCCCAAGGTTTCCTTTTCCTTTTTTCCTCCTGTCAGTTCTAACAGACTTTTAGAGTGGGTACTAACTAGAAAGGACAACTAGAGAGGCGTCTAGAGATGGCTTGAGTTGAATGCTTAAATAAATCAACACTGCCTGGTGCTCAGCAGACAGGCAGGGGAATCCGGTGGCGGGTCAAAGCCCTGCTCTAGGCCTGACTTGGCCATGTTACTGGGATGCTCTCACTCTGCTAAAGGTCCTGGGGCTGCCTGCTGCTCAGGATGAACACGGCAGCATGAGAGCCCTAGGCAGAGCGGTCCCACGCTTCCAGTGTCTTAGCAAGCACTTCCCTGAGGCTCCTACCTTTAGGGGCATAGCTCAGTTCTAGCCCATTGCAACTCACAGGGCCCAAGGCTCCCATCCTTCTTCCTCCCCAGGAAGCCCCTCAAGCTCAGATCCTGCTCATTGCCCTGACCTCCAGTTAGTTCTCTCTTCAGCTGGTTCCTGGGGCTTCCTCTGTCTTCACTTTGAACTTAGTTATGCATTTACATTTTTTGGTTATATTTTAATGTACATTTTAATGTGCATAGAATAGGAGGGGAAATTTCCCATGCTGACCCAGATGGACTACATTAACTAGAAGTTTCTGACACTATTAGCTATATACCTGTGAGCAAGATACTTAATTTCTCTGAACCTCAGTTTCTTCATCTATAAAATACATAGGTCCTGTAATAGGATTGTCTGCAAAATAGGTTCTGATAAGGATTATGTGGGACAGGCATGCAAAGAGTTCAGCATAGGTGGTGCCTGGAACAGGTGTCTGATAAATAGCAGGTGTTACTAGCATTCCTGCTCCTACCTTATAAATATATATATCTCGGGCTCAGAGAGATAAGTAATGGCCTAAAGTCAAAATGGAACAAACGCAGATGTGTGAGTCTTCTCAGCCCAGGAACTCACATGTGAGTGAAGAGGTCTTCAGAATGACCAGGACCCCCGTCAGCATCTGGCTACACCCTCATGAGAGACTCCAAGTGGGAACAGCTTAGAGGAACCCGGGCACCCCTCAGGCTCATGAGCAACGGAAATAATTGCTGTTGTTGTAAGGCGCTGTTTGGGGAAGGTGTGTCACTCAGCAGTAGACAACAGCGACACTGACTGGTTTTCTGAGGCCCAGTCACCTCCATGGGCAGACGTGAGGAAGCAGAGCACTGCCTCGCTTGTCATTTGTCCATTTGCCCAGCAAACACACATCATGCCCTGACTGTGCCCAGGCTCTCTGCTAGGCACTGGGAATTCAGTGGCAAACAAGACAGGCAAGATAGGAAACAAATAAATAAATAAGAAAATAGCAGCTAGTGATAAAAGCCAGGATGAAAATAAAACATGATGAGACGGAGTGACAAATGGGGTCTTTTCAGGTGATCAGAGGTTTCCCTGCGGCATTTCAGGTGAGGTGCCTGTCAAGAGGGAGTAAGAGCGGCAGCAGAATGTGTTCCAGGCAGAATGAATGGCTAGTGGAAATGCCATGTGGTGGGAATGATCTTGAGGCGTTTGGCATCCTCCAAAGGCTGGTGTGGTTGGAGAACAGTGAGTATGGTAGAGGAATGTGTGCGGGGGCACAACGTGAAGGGATTTGTAGACCACAGAAGAGATTCTGGATTTTTTTCCATATGCAATAAAAAATCCATATGCAATAAGAAGGGACTACTGGGTCCTTTAGGAGGGTGATGTGTCAGACTAGGATAGGCTACGCTGCAGTAAGTAACAAGTAAACCCTCAAGTCTTAGTGGCTTTCCACAGAGTTTATTTTTGACACATAGTCATTTCTGTCTCATGTCATAGTCTACTGTGTGTCTGGAGGATTTCCTCTAAATTGCAACTCAGGAGCTCAGGCTGCCTTCATCTGGTAGCTCCGTCATCTTGTTGCTACGATGTGACCTACCTAGGGACAGGTAGAAGGAGAAGAGAGAAGGGGGAAGGCACACCAGATACCGATCCACCTCAGCCTGGGTGTAAAACAAATCACTCTGCTCACGTCCTGTTGGCTAGAACTAGTCACATGGCCAAGTTAACCGCAAGGGAGGCTGGGAAGTGTAAAAGAACACACAGATAGATCTGAGAGCCCCCAGTAGTCTCTACTGTGCATAGAATAGGATCTCATTTATATTTCAAATCTGCACTCCGGTTAGTGTGAGAGAAAATGTGAATCATGAGCTGTGGGCATCCCAGCTATGATCAGGTTCTGAAATTGCAACCTAACTTGTTCCCCTTTTGAATGTGTCACTCGTGACCTTAAACACTGGGCCAGTTTTACCTCCTGGAACAAAAAAAACACTAAAAGTTATGTCTTAAAGGGATGCTTAGGTCAAACCTGGAGTCAAGTGTTCAAAACCAAATGTTTAATCAGGGGGACCATGATTCTTAGACTTTGGGATCATGGATTAATAAATTCTAAAACTAATATGGAAACCAGCAAAGAGTTACTTTGTCTCTACTGTCTCCATCATTTCATAAAATGAAGGGCACCTTAGATTTGCAAGTTGGAAGGAATTAATAGCATAATAAAGAACATTCCTTTCATAGAAGAGACAGTTGACTTCACACAGGTCCACACGTACGCATGTACCACACACATACATAGACACACTAGCCGATATGCAGAGATGCTGTACATTTAGTTGGCTTCCTGGAATTGCCCATGAGAATCTTTAATCATCATTAAATAAGTGAATCTGTGCCATGATCCGCTGTGGAGCTATTCAGAGTTGCTTGTGTGAGAAGCTGCTTGAGGCAAATTACCACTTTTCATCCAAAGAATCACCCTCAAAACTTTTAATTTGGGAGCCACATTTGAAATCACTGTTTGTCTTCTTTCACTGTGGTATTTTAATGCTCCAACATGTCCCCTGCAGTTGGTAGCTATACAGGCCTCTTATTGGAATAACTACTTTCCTGTTTGAGGTGGTTTTCCCTCTAGGAACCATTAAGTGAATTTTGAGCTCACCATGAAGCTTAGATTAAGCCAGAGCATCCCAAACATGGCACTCGCATTCAATATGTCCAGCTGGTTTCCTGTACTGTGGTAATATGCAGACTGAAATGCAATTCTGCTTATATAATACCACATTGTCCTTTTATTTTTCTCATTTCCCTACTTGTCTTGGTCCACGAGCTGGTCCTTAGAGGCTGCAGGGCTGGGTAAACAATAGCAGCCAAGGGCTAGAGCCAAATACAGAGGCTTAGGAACTAGGATGCTGAGAGTCAACAGCAGCCACGCAGGCAAAGGGCGGAAGTCTGGGCGAATGCAGAGGCAGGAGGCACATGCCGTGGTGATTGGTGACAGGCCCAGGAGGGGCCTGCAGGGTGAGTTGGGGGATCCAGAACACCTTTGTCATGACCTGCAGGAGCTGACTGGACTCCACCTGCTTTTCCGTTCTCCAGTCTTCCTTTACTCAGGTCTTCCCGTCAGGCTGACCTCCTTGCCATCTCCACACAAGACCTTCTCATATTTTTGTGCCCTTCGCACATGTCCTTTCTGCCTGGAGCACCTCCTGCTGGTGCCCCAACAGCACACGTTTTCTGCCGCGCCAACTTGTATGCATTCTTCAAATGGAACATGCTCTGCCTTCCTCCACACAGATAAAAATAAATGTGGCACTCAGTAGGCACACCTCCTTTACTGTCCTGAGCCTTGAGGCTGAAATACTGGATGGGAGGTGCCAGGGAAGAGGATGCAAAGAGGGCTCCCATAATTTTGGCTGAGCAACCAGGAAGATGGAGATTCCAATGGATAAGAAAGGAGGATGCGGGGAGGAGTGCGTTCAGAAGGGATGATCAGGAGCTGAGTTCTAGATGTGTCTAAGATGCCCACTAGACATTCAAATGGGCATGTCAGGTAGGCTGTCGGATATATAAGTTTGGAGTTCAGGGGAGAGGGCCAGGACAGAGATATAAATTTGGGAGTACTCAGTACAAGACTGATATTTAAACCACTTTTTGGATGAGATTATGTGGGACGGGCTCCCAAAGGCCCTCACCCTGGAACCTCAGATCCTTCAGTTGACCTTGGCCCACCTCTTAACCTCACTGTCCCCTCCCAGCCACGTCCCCTTCATAGCAGCTCCAGCAAACCTTTCACTTCCCCGTGAACTCTGCTAGGCACACAGCTTTCCTCTTTTGACTGTGCCTCATTTTTCAAGGACCAGTGCAAACAACCTTTTTCTCTGGAGCTTCTTCCTAGAAGAATGAATATTTCTCTTCTCACTGTTAAAAATAAGCTTTGACTATATGTATTGGCACCCTTGGGCAAATTACCTCTCACTGTATTATAATACCTTTGTCATTGATAAGTATTTTGAAAGATTACCCGATATGTTTTCTCCTTGACAGTGCCTTCTAGCCCTTCGACTTGAGTCTCTACCCTCTTTAAATCTTCTTTCTTGAGGCTGAGAACTGCAAGGTAGAAATGATGCAAAGCAAACCCAAAAAACAAACAGCAAAAACAAAGGGTTAACTTCTTGATTTTTAGTTCTCAAATTTCACTTTTAAAACTCCATGGCATCAAGAGACTAAGAAGACAAGCTATGGATTGGGAGACAATATTTGCAAACGACAATGCCTGCCTGGTGCCATGGGTGTGGGTAAATAAATGTGACCCTGTCCTGTGCCCGAGTTTATTTGGCCCAAGGTCGACTTGACCATTATTGGGCCTTTCAGATTCTCTCCCCCTAAATCTGGAATTGGGGCTGAGAGATGCTCGTCAGTGTCCTTGGGTCAGTGGAACCGATATGATATAGATGGAGGCTGAGGGTACCACTGTGGCAGCCATGTTAGATTGTGACCAGGGTGAAGAAGAGAACAGCGGTCTGTTAGAAAGCGTGAAGAGCAGAGGCAGACACACAGGGACGAGTAACAGGAAGACATGTGACCCTGGAAAAGCCCTGGAATTTTCCTGCTTCCATGAGAATCCCAGTTCTACAAATTCTCTTTTTTGCCTAAGCCAGTTTGAGAGCGTTTCTATTACTGACAGAACCAAATGATCTGACCAACAATATCTGAATCCCCTCCAACAGAACTTCTCGAAGAAGAAACTGCTGTCTAAATCCAGAGGCCTGGCCTGGGCTCCCTGTGGGGGATGAAGGAACTGCCTTTATCCACCGAACAGCAGCGCTCCACCCAGCGTAACATTCCTCAGAACGCTGGGAATTCTAGCCAGGAGTTTTGCAAAGTGAAGTTACAAACATCCTATTTGAAGTTGGATGTCTCCAGCCTTGCCTGGTGTGACCTTAGGAAGCCCCAATTTCTACAGTTGTGATATGGGGATCACAGTCTTTGCTTCATGGGTTTGGTGTTGGTACTGAGTGAAATGATGTCTGCAGAAGGGCATATCCCAGGGCCTGGCACAAAGGAAATGCCCTGTGAATGGAAACTATCATGATTTCTAATTGCTATTGAGAACTGACATTATTCATTAGAGAAATATTTGTTGAGAACCCACCATGCCCTGGAGTGGCCAAAAGAGAGACAAGACTCCTAAAGAACCTGCCCTAGTGAAGCTTACAGTCTAAAGACACAGAAGTAGCTCTTCTTGAAGGTCTTCTTTGTGCCAACTCTGGGTCCAGCTCCTTTTTGAGCAAGGAAAGAATCACAATTGGGGTCTGTCATTATATGCTATGTGTGTAATAAAAGCGGGTCTGCATATGCTCGTGGGCTTCTTAGTTTCAGCAGCACTAGTTGTGGTTATGCTATGTTTATTTTTCACATCCTTCCAGTCAAGCTCTTGTCAAAGAGAGCCGGCCACATTCGCACACCTGTCCCTTGAACATGCTCAAGACACCTGCCTGCCTCCTGCTTCCATATGCATCTGTGTTCAATTTGAGGACATAAATCAGATAAAAAACTGTGCAGATTAGGGAAAAGTTATGTTTAGCCGGTAAGGCTGATAAGTGATGAGATTTAACCTCCCTCTCTCAAGGCAGAATCAATCTGTTCTATTTCCCACAAATCAATACCAGAAAACAGCCTTAAGAGTAATGATGTATTTATTAATTGGGAAAGTCCTTAAGTAGGGCCAAAGAGGACAAAAGTGAGTGGTGGAGATCTCAGGTTTAGAAAGCTGCCTGAGTTAGACCTTGACCTTCGTGAGCAAGCCCCAGCAAGCAGCAAGGACCTGCTCTCTAAACTGTTGACCACAATTTGCCCACTTCTTCTAGAACAAGGACTGTCTGTGGCACTGAACACCCTCTGGGATCCTGCCGTGTCTGAAATACCCTGACATTTCTTTCCCTTATTGTTTTGTAAAGGTTATATATGTTCATTATTAAAATTTTTAAAAATCTTAATTGCCTTCTTTCCTGTTAAGGAAATGATGATTTTTTTAACTAAAAAAAGTTTTCCCCCAGCCTCATGGAGATACAATTGACATGTAACACTGTAAGTTTAAGGCGTAGGACACAATGATGTGACATACATACGTAGTGTGAAATGTTACCACAATGTCAGTCAACACATCCATCACCTCACATAGTTACCATTTTTGTGTGTTGAGAACTTTTAAGATCTACTCCCTTAGCAACATTCAAGTATATAATACAGTATTGTAAACTGTAGTCACTGTGCTGTGTATTCGATCCCCATTATTTATTCATATTATGCCTGGAAGTTTGTGCCCTTTGACCGCCTGCACCATCCCCCCTTCCCCTCCTACCCCTGCTGACCATCAATCCACTCTCTGTTTCTATGAGTTCAGTTTTTTTTTAGATTCCACATACAGGTGAACTTATACAGTATTTGTCTTACTGTGTCTGACTTATTTCCCTTAGTGAGATGTCCTCAAGGTTCATACATGTGACACATGACAGGATTTCCTTCTTTTCTTATGGCTAAATAATACTCCATTATATATGTGTATATATATATATATATGTATATATACACACACACCACACATATATGTGTATATATATATACACACATAAATATCCTTATACACACATATATGTATATATATATTATATATCCATATACACACACATATGTATGTATATGTATATATACTCATAAATATTATATATCCTTTTTTATAGCTGAATATTACATTTTATATATATATAAATGACACACACACACACACACACACATATACACATACACTTTATCCATTCATCTGTCAGTGGACACTTAGGTTGTCCTCATGTCTCGGCTATTATAAGTAATGCTGCAGTGAACATGGGAATGCAGATATCTCTTTGAGATCCTGTTTTCATTTCCCTCAGATATATTCCAAGAAGTGGAATTGCTGGATCACGTGGTAGTTCTATTCTGAGTAACCGCCCACTGATTTCCAAGGGAATGGTGATTTTTATTGGCCTAGCAATTTGGCCAGCCTCAGGAAGTGATTGACAATTGCCTTGCCTCCGTACAGTTAGGAACGGCCATGTGGTCCATTTCTGGCCCCTGGGAGCTTAGCAGGTCTGCTAGGGAGTTTCTGGGAAAGATTTTGTTCCCCACCCCTCTTCCTGCTGTGAAAGAGGAGGCCATGACAGCTGAAGCTGGGGGAGCCTTCCTGTGCCTGTGAGGCAGTAAGCAGAACATAAAAGGTAACCATCTGAGGATGCCAGCAAGGCATGGAAGGACATGTGTTCTTAATATCTTTATTCTCCTATAGCAAGAAGACTGAAAGTGGATGACTCCTAGCCAATAAAATGAATACCAACCTACTGTTGGTTGGGTATTTTGTTATTTGTATCCATATTCCTAAGATATGCTGAAATATTTATGTAGATATGCTAAAATAGAAAATGAAAGTCTCTACCCTACCCCTAGATAGACCCACTGTTAAAATGTTAACATTTGGTACCATTTGACCCAGGAATTCCACTCCTAGGAATTTACCCTAAGAATGCAGCAGCCCAGTTTGAAAAAGACATATGCACCCCTATGTTTATCGCAGCACTATTTACAATAGCCAAGAAATGGAAGCACCCTAAGTGTCCATCAGTAGATGAATGGATAAAGAAGATGTGGTACATATACACAATGGAATATTATTCAGCCACAAGAAGAAAACAAATCCTACCATTTGCAACAACATGAATGGAGCTAGAGGGTATTATGCTCAGTGAGAAAAGCCAGGCGGAGAAAGATAAGTATCAAATGATTTCACTCATCTGTGGAGTATAAGAACAAAGAAAACAATTGAAGGAGCAAAACAGCAGCAGACTCACAGAACCCAAGAATGGGCTAACAGTTACCAAAGGGAAAGGGACTGGGCAGGATGGGTGGGAAGGGAGGGATAAGGGGGAAAATGGGGCATAACAATTAGCACACATAATGTAGCTGGGGGACATGGGAAAGGCAGTATATACAGAGAAGACAAGTAATGATTCTATAGCATCTTACTGAGCTGATGGACAGTGACTGTAATGGGGTATGTGGGGGGTGACTTGATAATAGGGGAGTCTAGTCACCATAATGTTGTTCAAGTAACTGTACATTAACGATACCAAAAAAATAAGTTAACATTTGGTATACCTTTTTCCAAGTATTTTATGCACATATTAATACATGTGAATAATCACAAATACATATAAAATAATGGGCTCATAGAATAAATACATTTTTTTCTATAACCTGGTATAATATATATACCAAAATACTATGATATATTTCTACATCAGTACAGCCTTTTTTTTTAACGACTCAATCTTACCCTGGTAGACATTTAGTACATATCCAGTATTTTCTCATTATAAGCAATGCTGAAAAAATTATCCTTGAACATATATCTGCATGTACTTGTCTGATTGTTTACTTTGGATAATCATTAGACATGGACAAAGGGTATGCCTGTGTTAAATGTTGACACATCTCGGTATTAAATGTTTATTGAAGGGCTAGTATGTGTGGCACACTTAACGCTTGATGAACAGATACCTTGGTGGAGTTCTTAGTCTGGTGGGGAGACTGACAAAGGAATAGGTAAACAATTAGTAAATAGTTAGAAATTATGATGAGTGATAAGTGTAAAATGAAGTGATGTGGTATGAAAACAATGGAGATTTATTTAGGTAGGTAGATGACAGGTGAGATAATGCTTCACCTGAGAGTTTAAGGATGGGAGAAGGACCCAAGCCCCGTCAAGGTGGAGAAGAGCAGTGCTTTAAGTGAAATCCCCCAGGGAAGAAAGAGCTTTGATACTGAAGGCTCTGAAAGGAAACTAGTGTGGGAAGAGCTGCTGAGAAGAGGATGGAGCAGCAGGCAAGGTCCCGCCAACATGAGAAATTAGAGGTCACGTTGGAGCATTATGGAAAGTCAGTGGAGGGCTTTAAGCAGGAGAGTGACTTGTGTTTTATTATTATTACTTTTTTTAATGATCATTCTGGTTGCTACTTTCCATTTTTTGGATGGAGGCAAAGCCAGGAGATTAGTAAGGAAGTTATTGAAGTGGTCTAGGGTAAGATAATATGGCTTACAGTAGGTTATTAGGAATACACAAGTAGATTAGTTGATAAAAACAAAGCATTTATAAACAGGGAACTTAATATATGATGAAAGTGTGAATTCCCACAGTAGCGGCACACAATTTTATTTGCTGAAGCTTTACATTATATTTTAATATGTTAGAGCAATATTATTACTGGTGTAACAGATATTAAAACATAATATAAAATATATTATTTTATATTCTTTATTATCTATAATATTTATATAATAACTTAATATTGTTCAGTTTTAAAATTTTCTTGGACATTTTCCCATGTTTAGTTTTCAAGATAAGTTTAAAGTAATTTTGTCATGTTCTACTGCACCCCACTCCCCAAGTCATATTGGTTCTTTGATTTGGATTCCACCAAACTTAGAATTTGAGTTGGGAGAGACGACATCTTTGCAGGACTGAGACTTCCTGTCCAGGGATTTGTTATGTCTTTCCTTTTATTAAGAACTTTTCCAATGTCCTTCAGTATGGTTCTACAGTTTTCTTTCTATGGGCCTTGCCATTGCTTGTGAAGATTATGCCTAGGTATTTTATGGTATTCATTGCTAATGCGAATATAATCATTTTCTTAAATCATACTTTCTAAATATTTAATGTTGTATTTAGACAATGTTATAGGTAATACATCTCCTGAATTTGGAAGAAACTGAGGCGTAGATGCAGAAAAGAGACATAAGAGATAAAAATACTACCTTTATTACTGATAAAGTTACTGGAAAATGTAACTTTTGACCTGTAGCCAGGTGGGCTTGCTATATTTCCCCCCCAATTGGATAGATTAACTCTGTAGCAGCAGGTCCACTTACCACATGGTAGAGAGCACATGAAAATATTTGCTTTCTGCAGTAAGCCAAAGTCAAAGAGCAAAGATGCTGAGAAGCATGTATGTTTGTCCAGTTCCTTCTCCCAAACTCACTAATCAAATAAATCACTCACCCTCCCCTAGGGTACAGAGAGGCCCCAAGTCTTATTCTAATGGAAGTCTCTATATATGGAAAAAAAAGGCTTTTTCCCTTAACATTTAGGAAAGCCATTGATTTTGTTTTTTATGTTATAACTAGCCACTTTAACAAAGTCTCTAAGAACTTGAGTTGGTTATCTTCCATTTTTATTTTTAGGTGTGCATGTAAATCATGAGCAAATAACAACACTTTTGTCTTTTCCTTTCTAATATTTGTATTTCTTAATTATTTTTCTTATCTTATTGCATTAGCTTTAGTCTGTAGCAATTGTAGCAGATCCTTGTTTTGTTCCTCAGTGTGTAAGAATACTTTTAGTATTTCACTATTAAATATATTTGTTGATGGCTTCTGGTAAACTTTGTCATCTTAAGAAGTTTAAGTTTTCTCCCTAGGTTACTAAGAGGTTTTTAGAATTTTATAAGTAATTGGCATTGAAGTTTATAAAATACTTTTAAAGAATCTATCCTGTTGCTATCCTATGATTTATCTTTCTTTAATAATGCAATGAATTTATAGACTCCCTAATGTTGAATTACTGTTGCACTTTGGGAATAAATCTTGCTCAAATATGGTAGATTTTGACTTGTTTTATAGCAAGTGGGATTCAAATTGCTAAAATTTTATGTAGCAGTTTTGCAATTACTATATACTTACATGAGGTGGTCTATAGTAGTGTTCATATATTAGACATTAATTGGTGAACTTTGAAAAGGTGATCCTGACTCAGATGAGTTTGGGAAATGCCAGGTTAAACAGGTGTCTTTACCCCTGGACTTAATAGAGACCTCAATATACTAGTACCATGATTCTCCAAAAGGTAGACAATACAGGGCATGTAGCACTTTCTCAATTTATTTGACTGCAGAACCTCTTTTTTCAAAAAACACACAGTAAATTCATTGATATCTGCTGTATTCCTTTTTAATGTTATCTCTGTTGGATTTTAGTATGAATTATGCTAAACTGGGATAGTGAAATGAAAAACTTTTTGCCTTTTTGTTTTTGTTTGCTGTGTAATGGTTTTAATAACATAGATTTTTTTGTCTCTCAATGGTTTGACTGAACATACCTATAAAGCCCACCGGACTAGTGGGATTTCTGAGTGATGCCGATACTCAGAACGCACAAACTTGCATGGCTTCCCCACAGGACATTTTTCCCAACAGACAATTCTCCTTGGCACCCTTTTTAGGATCAAGGAAAGCTATTTTAGAAAAGTCTAGAATGTGTGAAAGTTAGACTTGATGAAGTGTCCTCAGTTCTAAATGCTACCACCTCCTGACCAGAATTCTTTCAATAGAACCCAGCCTGTGCCTCGGACCAGAATTCTTTCAATAGAACCCAGCCTGTGCCTTGGGGAGACTGGCTGGGGCTATGTAGGGCATTTTTGGTGTAGAGAATGCTCCTGCCTTTCCACCAGCCACTGCAGCTGAGGGTCAAGCTCTGGACCCCACTCCTCATCCAGCGCCATTGTGTCCTCTGGCTTGGACCTTTTCCCAAATACTGTAGGGCTGCACTTCTGCTTAAACTTCTTCCTCTAGATACTTCCCTGAGACCAGCCCCATGACCCTGGCTCTAGGCCTCTGTGGGTGGTGGACTGTTTGCCCAGCGTATGGGAGAGGGGAGAATTGCTAGGAGTCGGTTTCAGAGGCCTGGTATGAGCCGTGGGGTCTGGGGCCTAAATAAGCTTGGGTCCCCTGGGGCAGTGGGGTCTCCAGGACTGGAGGGAGCTGAGTTGAAGGATTTTGCCTGGCGTTCAGTAAAGCCTTTAGGGGGCTGGGTATTACTGCAAGAGGGGTGTGCGTGGTGTGTGGTATGTTTTGTGGGTTGTGTGTGTGCAGTGGTGTGCGTATGTGCGGTTATCCAAGGCTCCAAAAAGCCCGGGGGCTTCCAGGGATTTCAGGCCGTGCTGAAGGACTGGTCTAGGGTACAGCCGGTCTAGGAGAGCGAAGCGGGTCCCCGGGAGGGGGCGAGGTGGGGGAGGGGACAGCTGGCGCCCAGGCTCCAAGAGGCCCGGGGCTCCCGGGGGCCTGGGGCTGGGGCGGGGGGCCGCCTGCGGACCCTGCGAGGCCGGGTCGGCGCCGCAGGGGCCCTGCCCCAGGGGCTCCCGGGCTGGGCCGAGGCCCGCGGAGGCGGGGTGCCGGTCGGGGCGGTGGCGCGGGCTCCGGACCCGAGAGCTCCCGCGCCCTCCTCCCTCCCGAGACAGCCTGGGGCACCCGGCGCCTCCCCCGGAGCCAGCGCCAGAGCCGGGAGGCCCGGGGCCGAGCCCGGCCCGCCGCCGCGGCCCGCGGAGGGAGCCGCCGTTGCCGCCGCCGCCGCCGCCAGGCCGCGCCCCGCCCCTGCCGCCGCCGTCGCCGCCGCTCCCCGGCGAGGCTCGCGCTCCGCTGCGGCGCCGGCCCCGCCGCCTGGGCCCCGGGCCCGGCCCCTCCCGCGCCGCCCGGGCGATGAGAAGCTGCTTCTGCGTGAGACGGAGCCGGGATCCGCCGCCGCCGCCGCCGCCGCCGCAGCCGCCCCAGCGGGGAACAGTTAAGTGAGGCCGGGCGGGCCGGGCGCCGCGGAGGCTCCGACAAGCCGGCCGGGCTGCCTTGGCGGGCGGGCGCGGGCCCCGGGCCGAGGGGCGGGCGGGCGGGCGGAGCCGGGCCGCGCCGAGGCCTGCGGGCTCCGTGCCCAGCCCGTGGCGGGGACAGGCTCGGCGGCCTCCGCCCGGCCCTGCGCACGCCGCGGCTTCCCGTCCCCCAGCTCGGCCTTGCGGCGCACAGGCGGGAGCGAGCTCGGAGGCCGACGTGCAGGCAGCGCCCACAGGGCCTGGGCAGGTGCGGGGCCTCGGAGAGGTAAAGTGGCCCACCTGCACCGAGGCCGCCGCGGTCACCTGCACAGACCGGGACAGCCGTTTCACTGGCTTGGCCCGGGGTCCAACTCTGTGTAGTCACGTGGGTTCAGACCAGCTTGCACCTGAGCTTCAGGCATCATCTGGGGTGTCCCCTCCTCTGTGACCTGGGCATACCAAAGAGGTCACCCAAACGCCGGGGCACCTGTCTGCAAGGTGAGGTGCCCGGCCTAGTCACCCAAGAACCAGACTACCCATCTTGTAAGGATGGTAGTAATGTTCATGAGCACCCCACGGGTACTCTGTGCAAGTGGGGCTCAGGAACGGAGCTGGAACAAGAGCTGTGGCTTAGCGCCCAGGGACATTAGATCCCCAGAGACACACCAAGGTGAAGAAGGCAGGCTCATGAGTATCTTTTGCCTCTTTGTTACCAACAGACAGCTCTTGCTAAATTATCAGCCTTTCTCACCATGAAAGATGTGACTCTTAGGTTCCCTGTTCCTCAGCAGCCTCTTCAGCAAGGCACAGAGGAAGGACACAGGAGGGCAAAAGGCAAACATCTGTTATCCCTGTCTCTGCTCCCTGTCCCCACCGAGGAACCAAATAGCCCACTCACTTTTGCCACAAAAGTAGACAGCAGGCCAGCATCTCTTAAGAGGCCTTTGTCTCTGGTGCTGCCGTCTCAGTATAATCTCATTGTACATTTCTCGACAGCTGGCTGGATCTCATCTCGCTTTAACGAGGCAAGAAAATCTTATCAGCTGTACCAGAAAAGCCTTAGAAAAGTTAGGAGATAAACTCTGTGGAAGCCTAGACTAACTGATGAAAAACTCAGTGTATTCAGGTTAGTTACAGGACACCTTTCTTGCCCACCGGAAATTGTGTGGGGTGCTTGGAGATACTGCATCATGCACAGAATATTTAAATGAGGCCTCTGAGAGATGTGGTCTCTGCTGGGATTTAGGCACCAAAGACCCATGTGAAGCAGTTGATGTGGCAATTACTGGTTTGTTTGAGCCTAGAATCGTCTTCTCTAATCCAGAGTTTTTATTCCTTCCTTCTAGCTTTTAGGCCACACTCCTGATTTATGCTGAAGGCATTTTCCCTGCCCTGCCTCCGTCCTCCTGGTGGGCTTTCCCCACTTCTAGCTGGAATAGTGCACCGTGGTTAAATGCAAGGGCTTTAGAATCAGACCTTTAGAATCAGCGTAAGCCTTGGCTTTTCTCCTTACTATGTGTTCTTGGGAAAATCAGTGACTGTTTTTGAGCCTCAGTATCCTCATCTGCAGAGTGAGGCTAAAGCTAATATCTATCTCATAGGATTATGGTGAGAGGTAAATGAAATACTTCAAGTCAGGTGCTCAACTCTGAGCTTGCCAGTCAGTAAAAATTAATTATTAAGGGTCTGTTAACTGGTTCATCAGAAGAGTAGCTTCATTTTTTTTTTTTAGAGTGCCTTTCTGTTTGTGGTTATTATTTAACTCTTCTCAGGGCAACTAGGAAGAGATGTAGAGTAGAAAGAATGCTGGACTTAGATCAGCAGCTTGAATTTGGATCTTAGTCCATCTCTTGGACCTAGGTAACCCTGAGCAAGTCATGGAAACTTTCTGAATCCCCATTTCTTTATGTGTAAAAGTGGTTTAAGACTAAAACCCACCCCATAAGGCTAAATGAACTAATGTGCGTGAAGGTGCATGGCATTGTGAAGGGTGGTGGTGAGGTTCTCAATTTAAGTGGAATCCAGAGGCAAGACCCCTGTTTTGTAGGTCCACCATTTAGACAATTTGCGTCTATTGTCTAGACAATATTATTTAGACAGATTGTGTCTATTGGCAGGGAGGGACTATAAGAAAAGGAACGCAAGCATATCTTTTGCTTTTGTACATTTGACAAAACTATGTGACCATGCAAACACATTGCTGGACCCCCTCCCAGGATTCGGGAGAGGGGAAGTTGAAGATGCATGTCTATCAGTTTCATGGTAGATATGTTTCTGGGGGCATCAGAACCCAAATGTCTTGAGCCCCTCTGTCTTAGCAGGTTGTAGTGCTGTATGCTTTATGCTTAAAGAGTGGCATCCTTGCTTGCCACTCGGGGAAGTAATGATGGTGTTGGAGTCAAGCATGGGAAATGTGAAAGGTGCTATTATGATGATGAAGATAACAAATGACTACATGGCTGGATGTGGTGGGCTGAGGACACTGTGTTTAGTTGGCTATGGCTGAGTGAGCAGAGTCTCCTTTGCTAGTTGGGTTGTAGGCAGGAGGCCTGGGTTCCTTGAACAAGCTGCCTCTCCCCAGGCGGTTCTCATTTTCCCTGGCCCACGTTTCACTGACTCCAGTTGCTCTCCGTGGCCTTCTGCTTGCTGGGCTGCCCTTGGGAATTGTGGTTTCCCCACATTGTCTGCACTGTTTGCAGGGGGGGTGCCTGTGTCAGATCTCTGCCCAGCTGCCTGGGAGGCAGAGCCACTGCAGGGTGAACTTGACATTACCTCCCTTGTTGGGGACATCCTGTGGGCATGTGTTTGGTTTACTTGACACACTTCTGGGCAGATACAGAGGTGATGTCTCATCCAGGCTGGAATGTGAGAGGCCTGTGGGCCTGGAGCCCAGGGGTCACACACTTGAGCTTTGTAGCTCAGACTTCCTGAGGACTGGAAGGCCGTCTTGTTGGGCCTGTGGCTGGAATCAACACAAGATCATTACACACACACACACACACACACACACACACACACACATACACACAATTTTTTAAAACCAGACACTGATCAACAAAGCAAAAATGTTCAAAAGAATATCTCTTGATCTTTGAGAAGAGAAGAATAAACAGATTCTTTGTGAGCTAACTTTCCTTAGGATGTTTATGTCCTTGCAGATTTCAGGGCCTCAAACCCAGATCTTCAGTCAGAAGGGGGAAGGGACCCCAGAAGCTGCATGTCTAACAAAAATCTTGGGTTGTGCTTATTTTTCTGAAATGTGAGAACCACAGTTGTAGATGCTTTTTTATTTAAATAAAAAATACACATAACAAAATTACCCTCCTAATCATTTTTAATTGTGCAGATCAGTGACATTAAGTACATCTGCATTGTTGTGCAACTAATCTCTGGAACTTTTTTATCCTGTGAAACTGAAACTACTCTCTTTAAACAACTCCTGTTTCCCCTTCCCCATATTTTCTGTTTCTATGAATTTGACTACTCTAGGGACCTCATGTAAGTGGAATCATGTAATTTGTCTTTTTGTGACTGGATTGTTTGACTTAGCACAATGTCTTCAGGGTTTGTCCACATTGTAGCAGGTGTCACAAGTTCCCTCCTTTGTAAGGCTGAGTAATACTCCACCTATACGGTCTATGTATGTACCACATTGTGCTTATCCATCCTACCTTTTGGCTCTTGTTAGTAATGCCACTGTGAACATGTGAAATATCTCTTCGAGACCCAGTTTTCAATTTGAGTATATACCCAGAAGTGCAATTGCCAGATTATATATTAATTCTATTTTTAATTTTTTAAGGAACTGCCACAGTTTTCCATTTCCACCGACAGTGCACCAGGGTTCCAGTTTTCCCCCATCCCTGCCAGAACTCATTTTCTGTGTTTTGATGTTAGCCATCCTAGTGGGCATGAGGTGATGTCTCATTGCAGTTTTAGTTTACATTTCCCAAATAATTAGTGATGTTAAACATCTTTTCATATGCTTGTTGGCCATTTGTATATCATCTTTGGAGAAATGTTTATTCAAGTCCTTTGCCCATTCTTTTTCATGAAGTTATGTGTTTTTTTGTTGTTGAGTTGTAGGAGTTCTTTATAGATTTGGATTTTAACCCCTTATCAGGCACATGATTTGCAAATATTTTCTCCCATTCTGTGTCTTTTTCACTCTGTTGATGGTATCTCTTGATGCCTATTCTGCAAGTTCTTTATACACATTATAACGCTGTAGAGAAAGTACTGTTATCTATTATGCCAATTTTATGGGGTGGAAACTTAAGCCCAGTTTAGTTACCATGCCTGGGGTCAGGAAGCTGTAAGTGTTGGAGCTGGGATTCAGATATGGGTCCCTCTGACTCCAAAGCTTGGACCATTTCCACACCCCTGCTTTATCTCCATTCCCCCCTGAGCTAATAGCATAAGGAGGCCCCTTGGGGCTCTGCAGGAAGTGGCATTGGCTTGAGAAGCATTCAGTTACTGGAGAGGAAATATGAATGGAGAACCTGGGAATCTCTTCCTTCCGCCCACTGGGGTGCTCCTTCCTGCCAATCTGTATCATTGCTTAAGCCTTAGAAATAGCAGAGACATGCAGACAGGTTTTTAACTGTTTTGACTGTTTAAGCATTTCATAAGCTTGTTTCAGAGCCCATCTGCTACCCACAGTTCCCCCCACAGTCCATGTTCACGCTCCCACTGATGCCGTGTCTCCTGCCTGCAGTACCTTCGCAACTCCCCACCCGCCATCTGTCCGGGAGGCCAGCCTGGGTGGCAGCTCTTCTCTAGTCTCCCCGACTCCCCAAGCAGAAGGAAGCGACCCCTTGTTTGCCGTCCCTTTCTGTCAGGATATTTCCTCCAGACTGTGAGTTCCGTGGTGGTAGCCATGCCTTCTTCATCACTGTGTCACCCAGCATGGTGGCACTTAGTGCCATCCCAGTACATACAGCCCAGAGCCATTACATCAGAACCTAGGGGTTAGAACAGGCCCCTGTAATTTTCACAAACTCATTAGGGGAGACTTCTGTACACCAGCCTGGAGACCCTCTGGGACTGCTGGGAGCGTACATTCCTGCCTCCCTTCATCCTCAGGTGGCCTGTCCTGTCCTGTGTGGGGCATCAGGGGTCCCAGTGTGGTGCTGTCACTGGGAGGGGCTGGCCGAGGTCTGCTGATTCAGTTGCCCCTGCTGCTTTATGTGCCCTTCTTAATCCAATGAGACATTGGCAGTTTTGAGAGGATACAGGAACTTAATTCATTCATCCTTCCGTCCATCTATCCATATGCTTTATTGAGTGCCCACTATGAGCTAGGCACTGTGGGGGGCTTAATGCCTCTGAACCACTTATGTGTTGCTAGGGAGAGTGTATTATGACCTGAGAGGCAAGGCTGTGTTTTTGTGTGTATGGTGTATGCGCATGTGTGTACATGTATGTGCTAAGACCATGTCCTTGGACAACATCAGGATTCTCAGTGACAGCACCTCTCTGGCTGTGTGGTTGGGGAAATTTTGGGAAGAATGGGAAATATGACCCAGATTTTGAATAGTAGGGTGGGTATCACGGGTGGGGAATCTGGGTGCTCTGGGCTGACCTGTGTTGGGGAGGGAGAGACTGGGGGACTCATTTTGAAGCTGTTCCCCACGGATGGTCACCTTCAGATTCCTTCCATTCATTCCTTTGTTCCTCAAACATCTTACGTACCTACTGTCTGTGCTGAAAGTTCAGGCTGTGGGCTGGCTGTTTCAGCATCACCTGCAGCTTGTTAGAAATGCAGCTTCTCAGACTCCATCCTGGATCTATTGAATCTCTAGTGTGTCTGTTTTAACAAACATTCCAGGGTACTCTTAATGCCTGCTCGAGAATGTCCTGCTGCAGAGTGTCTGATTGTCCATCTCCGTCATTGTTGTGCCCCTCCCTCAGTGCCTACTACCTTGTACACAAAAGCACCCATAAATGTTTGTTATGGGCACTGCCTGTTAAGTGCCAGGTCATGTTAGGTGCTGGGAATGTGGGAGATGCTTTGGGGAGGACGGCAAAGTCAGCCAAGTTTGAGGTATAATGGGACATGCGGGTGACAATAGTTAGCAGGGCATTAGGTACACACCTATGAGTCTCAGGAGAAAAGACCAGGATGTGAGGTATTTTGGAAGTCGTCAACATACAGGCAGAATGATTAGATGACCAAGTGTATGAAAAGACTCTCCCAAGACCCATGTTAAAGTCAGAGAGCAGCGTGGGTGGGTGGAGGGGCATGCCTGGCTGACCTGAAGCCAGGTGTTCCAGTGATTGTGGCCTGGGAGCCCATTAGCCAGGCACTGAGGTGACGTACTGGCATTTTTACTCTGCAGACATTGGCCATCAGGGCAAGGGTGTGGCTCATGTCACTGAACATCAAGAGAGCGTTGCTCTTGGGGTCCCCTGGGATGGTTTAATTGATAGGGCACCTGCCTTCTGTTGGGGTCCTCCTCCTTCCTTCTCTCCAGGGGACAGACAGTATGGCGCTGAGACCTGACTGGAGTGGGCAGGGATGACCTTTATTTGCAGTAATTGTGGGCAAGTTGGGGTGGGGCTCACAGTGTACTGGAGGATGCTCCCTGCCTCCCCTGTGCCAGTTTCCCAGGGCTTTGCAGAGTCGGGCCTGTGTGGGGCAGGCTTTGGCCAGGGCTGTGCTGTAGAACTTGGTCCTGGGTTTATTTTTGGACAGTGAAGTCTAGGATCTAGCATTGCACTGTGCAGGCTGTAGCAACCTGAATCTCAGGCCTGTAGCACATGGTTTATGGAAAATCTGTTGGTAATCAAATGGTTAATATGAATCTAAGCATAGGTCAGATGGACTGGATGCATTTATACAGCAGATTCTTCCCCAGGCCTTTACTGGGAAAAAGGAAGTGCTTGTCATTGTGAGTTTCCTAGCTGGAAAATTCTTTGTGATCTAAGAGAGTTTAGAAAAATATTTGCTTTAGTTCCCCAATATCTTAGCACCCTTCCCAGCAGCCCGTGGCCAGTTGCCACCTCACCATACCAACAGAGTGATTTAATCTGGCTTCTGACTGGTCACTAGGTAAATGGTTCAGACCAGAGTACAAGAAGTGCCAGGATGCTGTCCTGAGGTTCCACGGTGGACACCTCTCAGCCTGGGCACTGTCCCCTATGGGCAGCTCCGAGAGCTGGCTGGCTATTCTCCTGGGTGCTGCATGAACCCTGGCCTCAGCTTACAGTCTCCTAAGGAGGTAGGTCTCTGCACTTTGGCTGCATGGGGGTGTGTTTGCATGTCTTATGGTGAACTTTGGGGAAGCTTCCCATGGGGACAGTGTAGTACCCTTCTGTCCCCTGCTTAAGATTGGTCTTTAGTAAAGTGCCAGTCATCATGGGGCAACAGAAAGTGTCATAGGTCCTTGAGACCACCGCAGCCACTGGGAAACAGTGATGGCCCTTGCAGCAGCTTTTACTGGGGGACAGCCCATTTCCAGTTTCTACCCTGCTCTTGGTGACATACTTATCCACTGCTCTTCCCCCAGCCCCACATGCTGGTAGATGTGGCCAGTTGATGTCTTTGGTGTCCTTGATTTTGGATTTCAAACAAGCTGATCACAAGTTTATCCTTGTGTAGGGTCTTAATTAACCCGCTGGTTTTGTCACTTCCTATACAGTAGCCCAATTTAACCTGCTCTTCCTCATTCTTTGAAATTACTCTCCTCCAAAGTTGTGCGTGAGTCACGCCTTCAGCCCCGGTGGGCAGTGCTGGCACCTCTGAGCTGGCCTTCCTGCCTGCTGCAGGGAGGCTGGTTTCTCCTGCTGTGCTTCCTTTGAAGGCAGCACCCCCTGCCCCCTGCAGTCAGTGCCCCTCCCGCAAAGCACTTTAAACTCCTCAGCCCACACCCCACCCCGCTGCTGGGCCTCCGTGGAGAGAGGTCTGAGCTCAGTTAGTTGGGTTTTGATTTCAGTACAGGAGTTGATAAAAGGAGATAAACCCCAGGCTCACAGGGCTGGGGAAATTAAACAGAGATGATATCAGGGTTCTCCTGAGTTTTCAACTGTGATACAGTAGCTTAGTTTTCTCCCAGCCTGGGGCCGGGAGGCGCACCTTTTATTCTGAAACAATATTCAGCATCAGTTAAGCCTAGTACTGCTGACTTTTAGGGATTAAGCATACAATTGTAGTAATTCTTTGATCAGCTACAAGGGAGCAGTGTGCTGTCAGTGTGAAGAGGTTTCTAGTGAAAGTTCATTTCTCTGTGAACCTGGGATGACAGTACTAGTGAGGAGCTGCAGGGCTGGGGAGTTGGGGGTCTCCCCCAGGCGTGGTTTGCAGCATTGCAGGCGGAAGCTGGAGGCGGGCATTCTCCCACCCGGCAGGATTGCTGGAATTCATTGATCATGGCATGGAAAAATCCTCCTGGCTTGGAAAACACTTCCCGCTAACTGACCCCATCAAAGTCCTGGTATGTACATACAACAGACACTCATATACACACACTCCCGCCTTGCAGAGGAATCCTGGGGGCAGAGGCAGGAATAACTGCCTGGAGGGAGGCTCTGCAGCCTGGCTGGGACATCTGGCGGAGGCTGGCCACGCACTCTGGGTGGAGATTGGGATGGGGACTGGGACCAGAGGACCTGCAAGGTTCAATTAGGGGGACTAGCTCAGGGTCAGTGTTGCCACTGCACTCTCACCGAGCCCAAGAGTGGACGTGACTCCCACGTGCTGCCCCACCTTCACTCCTTACCTGGTATTTCCTGAGCACGACTTCATTTCACATTGGCTCAGTCCTGTCGTTCTGAGAAATCTCAACATTCGTTATTCTATCATCTCAAATACCGGGGCAGCTTTTGGCTTTCCCTGCAGAGACCGTCCTGGCAGCCACAGCTGGGACGGTAGAAGTTTCTTCAAGTTGCCCCTGCCTCCTGGTTGGCCTGTGACTTCCAGCTGGTAATGGAGCCCCTGTGTGTGTCGATCGCGCCAGCCCTGTGCCATACATCAACCTATTCCCTCCTGTGCAGCACTCAGATCTCCCTCATTAGGCCTAAATTTACCTCCATCCTACACAAACATGGCCTTAGCTCATTTTTATTGTTTTAAATTATTGATGAGGGAAACGTTGAATCTTGAAACTGAGGTGTGAGGAAAATTAATCCCATGTTACTTTTATCTTCCTGTGCTTTTCTCCCCCCGTGCTTCACTTATTGGGCTACAGCTACAGAAAGCAGAGCTCTGGCATTTAAAAAAACAGATGAATGTCGAAACTGCTTTTCTGATCAGGTATCAGGTGGGATGCTGGCTCTCTGCACAGTGTCATGGGAAACAGACCAGACTGGACAGGAGAGAGAAAGGACCCACCCGGCTCTGTGTCTGCCAGCTGCATGGCCTCTGAGAACTCTTGTTTCTCAGTTGTCTGTTTTCTAAAATGGGGCTATTACGTCCCAGTCACCTCCCAGTTTCGGTGTGAGCATCCCTGGAGAAAGAGCCTGAGAGAGCTTTTTGAGATGGCCAAGTCTTGTACAAATGCAGCCAAGATGTGTTACTGTGTCTTGTGTGCAGTTAGGATTTTGAGACAGAGATGAATGTTGGATAAGGAGCTGCCGAGGATGAAACCAGGAGTTGTTGCAAGTAGGCCTTGGTATTTTATGTTTTAAACCAGCATCACCTCTTGCCAGGCAGGTTCATGTTGGTCTTAAACACCCTGCTGCCCCCATGTCCCCTCCCCAGGCAGATTTGCTCTGTAAGCTTGCATTAATGGCCTCTTCTCCCTGTCGCAGAGGTCTGGCCTGTGACCCTCGGTGGCTGAGTATGCATGGTGCCATCCCTCCTGGCTCAGGCTCCACACAGCCCGGGAAACGTGGAGTGCTAGTTAATAAATGGCCTTTTGTTAGGAAGGTCAATTGAAGTGATGGTAGAGACGCTGTTAAAAGTAATTTGCAGTCAGAAAATATGTAATTCAGGGCAAGCTGCTTTGAGTGATTGCCTCTGCCGTGGATATCTTGGGCGTTTCTCATTAAAAGCTTCCTTTGCTCGTGGTGGTGCTTCCCTCTCTGCTGAGCCGGCCAGGGCCCTGTGCAGCCAGGAGTCATTTGTCTGTATTTCACAAAGCCTGCCTTGATCCCCAGGGTATGGCAACTGGGGGGAAAGGAAAGAAGGCGTGCATCTGAGATGGTCTGTTGCTAATGCTCTGCTCCTTTTTGCATCCTCCCATCCTGAAGGCCAGACTGAGACTGCACGCATGGGCACAGGCCGCTGGCTCCTTTGTCTGCCTCAGCTGGAGGCAGCCCGCAGCCATCTTGGAACCTGCTGCTGGGCTGCTTCTCTGGTGCATTCTGGGAGCAGCATCGAATCTTTAAGAGCGAATTTACCCGACTGCACTTGATAGCGTGCTTCAGAGCAAAAGAGAGCTGCTGTCATCAGTACCTCCTGGAGGGTATTGTGACCTGAGGATGTGAATCTATCAGCCAATGAAATATTTCTTATTTATTCCCATGCTTGCCTCCTCTCTCTCCTAGATAGTAGAGGCAGTGCTATCTTAAAAAAAAAAAAAAAAAAAACTTACCTTGTGTCTTCTTTATTAAATTCACAGCATGATATTTTAGCACTGGCAGAATTTGTGCATTCTGTTAATGAGTTGTTAATTGCAAGGCGTTTTGGTAACCAACTGCAGGTACCAGTATTTTGCAAATGCAAGCACTGTTATTTTCATGTTACCAACGATAAGGGATTTTCCTAGTGAAAATACTTTCTGATCAGTTTTGCCTTTGATCAGACTGGTGCAGATACTTAATTCTAAATTTTTATTGAGGGCATACATGCACATTCATTCAATAAATATTTACTTAATGCCTATGTATGCAGGAAGCACCAACTCCTGAGTTTTATGCAGATAAATGTGCCTGGTAGATGAAATTTGGAAATAGAAAATGATGCAGTGATGCAGCATGGTATCCTGCCCTCTGCCCTAGGCTTCGGAAGTTTATTTTCAGTAGGTTTAAGTAAAGCATAACTTAGTTTGGCTTTTGTCATAAACAGAAGCTGAGAGCATGGCTGCTGCCAGGCAGAGCCTAGCCTTGATCAGAGACTTGGCTCCATTGCATTAAATCTGTTCTGGAGCCTTTTGTGGATTCCAGGGAATGCCGATTACGTGGGTGACTTACATATAGCATTCTGATTGTTCCTATTCTGGAGGCTGTCACTGTGTTTCACAGCCTCTGCCTTTTCTGATTCTAGGCTGAGAACTAAGAATATTCCTCCTGCCTGCCTAGTTAGGCAGGGTGTTTAGTTTCTTTAGAAGCAATAACCAGCCTTGAGAGATCTGGCAGACCTATGGCCAGTGGAATTTAATTGCTGCAGAAGGAGGTGGAATTTAACTTGCCCTTTTTCACTGCGTGTCCTTTTAGAAGTACTAAAAGTCATTTACATAAGGTGTTCCCTCTTTCATGTGCTTTCTGGTACACTGCCACTTGAGCTGCCCAGACCCAGTGCTCTCTATATTCTACTTGTCTCCTCCGGTCACATCAGAAGGCAGTCAGCAGCAGAATAATAATTCCACTTTCCCTCCCTTTCTCCCAAAGTGCCCAGCAAGAATTATGGTCATTGTTAGTGTTTAGCTGTGAGTAAATGCCTGCATGACCTGCAGGCTTAGACACAACAAAGGGACCCGGCAGTCCTCTCGGGAACGGTGCCTGACACCTTTCTGGCCAGTTATGCTGGGCCTGTGCCCCAGGCCTGCCAGTCTCACCTGCTTTTTACTGAATGCCGACTGTGTGCTGGGGACTCTCCAGGCCCCTCATTTACATGGCTCCCTTCCTTCTGTGTCCGTCAGCATCATGAGCTCTTGCTCGCTCAGTCTTCAGCTAGTAAGTCATGGAGCCCGGACTGCTACACCTTTGCCTCCATGCTTGGACATGTGCCTGCAAAGCTTTGCCTGCTGAACAGTCCACCCTTGCATGTGGGAGAGGCTATGAATTTGGAAGTCTGCATTCTACAAGGCAATATCATAAGGGAGAGAGATGAAAGGTGACGTGAGATTTAGCCCTGTCTTGTTTATCCTCAGAGCAGCTTCTGTTATCTGTTCAGAAGTCAGACAGCTGGACGGGAGAGTTAAGAATAGTTTGCTTTTGGATTTGAGTCAAGCCCTCATTAACTCTTTTAGCTCAATGTTCAAAGCTACTTGAGAAGAGCAGGGGCCAGAGATGACTTAATTCTTGACCTGAGGAAAGGGTCAGGTGAGGTCAGAACTCCTCTAGCCAGTTCGGGGATGTTTGCCCTGAGATCCTGGTTCTATCTGTTTGAGGTTTTGTATGGTTCACTTTAAGCGCTCAGTTTGAATTTTGTGCTTTCTTTTTCCTTTTTGGAACCAGGACCAATCAACCATGCCTGAAGTCAAAGACCTTTCGGAAGCCTTGCCAGAGACGTCAATGGACCCCATCACGGGAGTGGGGGTGGTGGCTTCTCGGAACCGAGCCCCAACAGGCTATGATGTAGTAAGTCAAGACTCACCGATTCAACAAATATTTATCTCCTGTGTTCAAGACCCTTTGAGCCTTGCGTGTAAGATGTGCTCCTTCTCCCTAGGAGCTTAGACAGGGAGGGAAAGCCCCACCTTTGGGAAGGTCTGGGGGTGTCCTGGCTTAGGTCAGGGACCTGACCCGTCTGGGCCGTTTCCAGGCCTGGCCCAGTCACTTGACCTCTGTGGTGGTCATTTTCACCTTATGTAAAATTAAGGGGTGGGATTAGTTGCGGCACTTCTAGTTGTGACATTTTGTGAAAAGGATCCAAGAGTTTGTCACAGATTGTCCTACATGTAAAAATGTCATAAATATAATGCCATATGTTTGTATAGCTCTTTACAGTTTACAAAACCATTTCCTACCCGTGAGCTCATTTGGGTCTTCCTACTTCTTAGAAGGCTGGGAGGGCAAATGGCTTCCTGTCCACTTTGTTGATGAGGAGAATCAAGCTCTCAGAAGTGAAGTGACGGAGGCCCAGTCCCTGGGAGCCCTGTCAGTGCCAGGCGTGCTCATGGCCTCAGCGCTCTGGCCATGCCGCGGTTACTTGCTCTGTGTTTCAGCAGGCAGCTGTGGCAGCATCCCGGCTCACTGATGGCTGCAGTCAGCTATTGTGTTGTTCCAATAGATAAATTCTCATTTGGATGGAACTTAAAGGGTACAGAGCATCACCAGGAGGGTGACTAACAGTGACTGTTGTCGTGTGTGTTAGGAGATTCTAAGATTCTTATTTCACTCTCCTCATTGTATTTATGGAAACATTTGTTCATGTTCATTTGAAAATGTGCACCAAGAATACATGAGAATAAAGGAAGATGAGTCTCATTAGCCAGCACTAAAACCCTGCCACAGTGATGAGATGTCTGCCGTCCCAGAGGCAGGAGGGATGCCGTGCCTGGTGCGGAGGAAGCCCTGAGGCAGCGGTTCTCAGTCTTGGCACTGTTGACGTTTTGGGGCAGTCAGGAAAGTTTGTGTTGTGGCAGCTGTCCTGTGTGTCATAGGGTGCTCAGCAGCATCCCTGCCTCTATCTATTAGATGCCACAAATGCCCAGACATGGCCAGATGTCCCCAGGTGGCACGAGTGAGTGGGCAAAATCAGCCCCCACTGAGAACACCGTGGTGTATATTGGCCTGTTAAAACGCTCTCCATCACTTTCCTAAGTGTTTGAAAGCTTACAAACATTTTTAAAGTGAGAGAATGGGAGAATCTTTTTTGACCAAGATTTGAGTCTTACCTGCTGCCTGCTTTCACAGCCCTGTTTGAATGTATAACTTGCCATAAAATAGAATCATTAGATATGGCTTTGTGCCATAAAACTCTTGGGGAAGCTAATAAAAATGTTCCTGATTTGAGAAGCCAACGTGTCTTTTGATGAAGTAGATATGAAGCAGCAAGTCATGAATCAGGCCAGGGGCTCCGTGCTCCCGATCCCGGAGGACAGGCTCAGGATTGCGCTCCCCAGAGGGCTGACGCAGGGCTCGCTCTGGGAGCGCGGGTCTCCTCGTCTTCTCGCTGTTCTCTTTTGTTGATCTGTGTCTTTAGCATTCTGCTTGTACCTTTGAGGTCATCTCGAGTGCTTGGCTAGTGGGTGGCAGATGGCCTTTATGGTCTGGTTTTCTAAAAGTCTTGCTAAGTCTGACGGGAGCAGAATCTATCCCTATCATTTTCTCCTAACATCTAGCTCAGGGCAGAAGAGCGCAGTGTCAGATGAGTAAAATTAATAAGCACATTTCATGATTATGCTGCACCATGCATTATAGTGAAAGGTGAGCAGGGCAAGAGGCTCCAGAAGGTCAGCCTGGCAATTACCCAGCCTCCACGCTGAGATGGAGAGTGTCCGAGCTCCCTCTGAGAGCCCTTTCACCGGGAGAGGTGGGAGTCGGCGCGTCATGCTACCCGCTGGTGGACTGTTCTCAGATAAGCATCTGCTTCCCCAGAGGTCTGACCCTGAGTTCAAGGGGAACAGGGGGAGGCAGGGGGAGGAGAGGCACTTGCCATTCCTTTTATCTGAAATTTCAGATGGACTCAACATCCAAACTGAAATATAAGGCGTTTTATGGTGGCGGGGCCACAGAGATGCTTAGACAGCGGGTAGTGGCTGGGGAAGCCCTGCCGTGGATTGCGTCAGGACGTCTCCCTGTCACATCTGCTGCAGGATTAATCCCTCCCTGTGCTCAGGGTGCATTAAGTACTGTGACCACGCAGCCCTGAGAGTTAGGCACTGGATGGACTGCTGACCTGGGCTAGCATAGCCACTTTAGAATAAGGCCCTGCCGCTGCTTGAAGTAAAGGATGCCAAATGTGTTTTTATAAAAATGTAATTTTATAACTTCTCTGCAGGTCAGGGAATGCTTCTTAGGCCAGAGGACTGGGGATTATTTGCTGAACTGCTCCATTTATTGTCCCTCTTCCTGCAGTCCTCTCTGAAATGGCTTCCTGTGTCTGTTCCAGAGCCACACTCTCAGATCTTGGAGTGACTGGCAATGACGCTCCCTGCTGTCGGTGGCAGGTGGGTCTTCAGTGTCCCTGTGATGCCACTGCACCTGCCATAATGACTGTGGTGTAGGTGCCTGGTGTTTACCAGAGGTCGTACATGCTGTTTTGTCCTCTGTGGGTCATTTAGTTTTCAATGACTCTTAATGCCCTAGAAGTTCTTTATACTAAAACTCATCTGCACAAAATTAATCTTTGTTATCCAGGTCCCTCTGGGATGCTGCAGTGTGTAAGGGCATCAAGCTGGACACACTGGTGACCATTGCTGGGTGTATGTCTGTTCATTTCCAGTGAAATACGTCCTGCCTTTTACCTACATTCTTTTGCTTTTCTAAATGAGTGTTTACAACTCAGAGACTGAAGCCAGAACACTGTATTTATGAGGTGACTCTTTCTTTCCAGAAAGGAAGTGTCTTCCTTTAATAACGTGCTTTTGGTATATCCTTCCATATGATAATAACTTTTCTTTGGCAAAAACAAACAAAAAGTCAACAATACAGGGAAAGAACAACCAAACATTCCATTGTGTTTTAGTTTTAAATCGTTTATTTATCCATCCTATTTTTTGAGTACCTACTATGTGCCAGCTAAGAGCTGAGGATGTATACTGGTGAGCAAAAACATACTGTTCCTGCCTTCGTGATGCTTACAGTCTAGAGGAAGAGAAAAAACAATTAAATGGTCATACAAATAAATGTAAAATAAGATTGTGGTTAGGTGCTTTGAAGGCAAGTCATAACAGACTGTTTTGTCTTTCAGATCTAATTTTACGGGTCTATCCATGTCCCCTACTCCCAGATAGTGACAGCCCAAACCCCCTCCAACTTACTTCTGGAAATTGCTCCCTTTCTTCCACACCGGGAGACCTGCCAAGGGGCTGAAGCTTTTTCTAAGCCTTCCCCAGGGCCCCGCCTGAAGTTGCTCAGGTTCTTCAGCTCTGGCTGTACCCTGGACCCTTTTAGTTGGTGACAAATGGGGGCTCCCTTGCCTGGGTCCAGCTCCTCTGCCAGCCTGTCAGCAGCTGCTCCCACCTTTCTGGCCTGAGTGGGGATGGGCACTGCTCTCCTTTTCGCTTCCATCTTCTGTGACCTCCCGTGGTTTCCCACAGAACAGCAGAGACCAGGATTACGTTTCAGGAGAGACTTTTCTGGAGCTAATGGGGGTGAGTGAGTCTGTGGCCAGTGCCCACATCAGTCCCCTGACACCCTCCTTGCCCAGCTTCTGCTGCTCTGGGGGGGCTTTGATTCTACCTACCCCAGAACAGTGTTTAGAACTGCTGCACATGGAGTCCCAGCCACACTGAGCCTTGGCCCAGAGAAACTAGGAGATTTTTTTTCTTTTTCTTCATTCCAATCTAAGATCTCCTCCATTCCCTTCTGGAGCAACCCCATGCTACTACCCAGGAGTCTTTCTGGCATGTGACCCTGAAGTGACAGATTACCCCTAGTTAAGTTAAGGACTGTTCCCAGACGTCCAGGTGGGGAGTTCTCAAACTTCTGTGGGCCTCAGTCCTCCGGAGGATCTGCGCCCTGAGTTCCTGCGGCAGTGGGTCTGGGCTGGGGTCTCGGAGCTGCCCTCTAACCCGTTCCCTGGCTGTGTGGCTGCTGCTGGTCCAGGAGCCACACTCTGAGAAGTGCTGGTCTAAGTTAAGTCATCCTTCAGTAATCTCTACATGTGGTCAGCACACATTTATCTCAGGAAGGGCTGTGCTAGCTTTTCCTGTTGTTTTTCAGCCTCTCCTGATTTAGAGTTCAGAACATCTCTGGGGACATGTGCGTAACCTAAAAAAAAAAGGATTTAAAAACTACAAATGAGATGGTACTATTCATACTCATTGTAATTTAAAAATAATATGGGCATAGTGCTGTATCGGTCCATATAGATCTATCTCATCCTAAAATGCATATTTTAATATCTAGCTGTACCAAAATTTGGCTAATAATCCCATATTGAAAGACATTTTGTTTGTTTCCTTTTTTTTTGTTCTTAATATGATAAACAACATCTTTGTGTATGTATCTTGGCATGGTTCACCGTATTGGCTCCCTAGGATAAGGTTTAGGTTAGAATTACTGGGTTTGGGGTATTAATTTTTTAAATTTGATAAGTATTGCCAAATGCGTCCCATAAAGGTCATGCCATTTTGTGAGTTCCTGTTCTCAAGTGAGTGTGAGTAAAATGGATTTTGGGGGGATGAACTGACTGAATCACTCCCCCCGCCCAGGCTTTGTGCCCGAGCTCCTGTCCTACTGGCACCTCTGACACATGGGCATCTCTCCCAGACGGAGGGCCTGAACAGCAGTGGGCACCCTTGTTTCAGCGGGAGCCGTGGGTCTTCCCCCAGAGGTCTCCCGTCGCTGATAGCCAAGCACAGGATCACACGGAGGTCCGGACTCCTTTCTCTGATGTCCACTCTCACCGCCTGCTCACTTCTTCTCTGGCGTCATTGAAACCTCTCACTTTCTCATATTCAGAATAAGCA